CTGAGAGGGCCCTACTTCAGATCTGCCCAGCTGAGAGCAATCGAGGCTCTCAAGTTTCTCTCTTATCAGAAGTAGATTTCACTTTCCTGAGCCGGACATTTTAGACTCCACACAGTCTTTGCTCAGGAAAGGGTTAAAAGACACTTTACGAGGAGAACAACATGGAGCTGGAGTTGGTTTGAGAGTTTTCCAAGTAAAACTAGCTGTAAAGGGATTTTAAAAACTTACACACAAGTGCAAATACATCATCAAGAAAGATGATTTATATTGAAAATGAAGATCAAACATTTGATATAGGGCACTCTGTCCGGGGACAGGAGAACCATGGCCTGTGAGAGCCTTCAGCTTGCTCGCACAGAGCTCAGAACTGTCCTGCTAGACAGAAAATCCTTCTTCTTTTGTGGCAGTCTTGATGCTCACACATGAAAGGCTTTTTGCTTCCTGCCTTACTTCTATACTTTTCTTAGGACAGTTTATCTTTTTGCCCGTACCAGGGTCCTGAAAACTTCCTAATTTAAAAAGCAATGAGGTGTGCAGCTGCGAGAAACCAGGCTGGGACCACTGCGGGCACAGAGACCTCTCGGGCTAACCCTCATCTCCTCCTTCATGCTCTATTAGTGTTTATGACCATTTATTTATGCTCCTCCAGCACGTTCAGTTCTAACTCCACATGAAATGCTCCACTAGAATCCAAATACATTATCTGTAGGGCCCTGCCCTTGTCCTGTAGCTGGGTAAAGCCACCCAAAGGGAGGGAGGGAAGCATCCCCCAAGAGCAGCTCTGGTTTGGCAATGCAGTCCTGAGACCACTAGAGGCCCCAGTAAAACCACCAAACTTCATCCCGAGTGACACAGCAGTGAAATATGCCTGAATTCCCATAAAAGTTGGCATATTCTGGAAAGTACAAGGCTAAGGATGACCAGGCCAGAGCGTAAAGTGTGGATGTAGATGTCATCACCGGCTCAGATGCAGACCGTGGAAGCTGATGACACCGTGCCGAGCTGGCTAAGGCAGGCTCAGCACATCTTCAAGCATCACAAACCTGTCACGAGGGAAGTAATTTTATACGATAAATTAACTCGCTGGACCTTAGTATTTCTTCACAGCACTTATTTACACCACCTCACATCTTCAGCTGCACTGTTTTGCGCTGAAACTACAGTTTTTGATGGGCCCTAAAAGCAAAGCAGCATTTGACCAACTTCTTCAAAACAAATGCAAATTGCCCCAAAGCAGAAAATGTAGTGCTAAAACCTTTTCCAACTCTACAATAAGTCAGAGATCTGGCTGATGTACAAGAATCAGATTATCACAAACACAGACAGTTCCATTAAACAATGTTTTCCCATATGCTGTGGATGCTGTTTTCACATGCGGCACCATGGGGCTGGGGGGACACTCTTCAGGTTTGCCTGCAACTGTCAGCCCGTTTAATCCTGTAATGAATTTAAACTGTAGCAAAAGACAAATGGACTGCAAGCCTTCAAAACATGTAGTAGTACTCCTGGGAGGGAACAAAAGATCTCATTGTACAGCTCCAGTAAGTTCATCTAGGGCTCTGCTAGAGCCTCCCTTTTCCCCGCTTTGAACAGAAGCTGAATAGAAACAGGAATGAGAATTGGCTCCGCCATCACCCCATCGCCAGGCTCGCCTCTGTGAATACACCGAGGCTGCATGAGGAGTTACTCACTGCCAACAACATGGGCTCTCTCTCACTTACCAGTCAATAGACATGACTATCAAAGGTCAACTCCACGGCCAGCTGGGAGGACCAGCTATGGTGGAAAAAGTCTGGGTGATGCAGGGTCAGAACCAGAGACCAAACCGACACTGCAGCCTGACCAGCTGCAAACTTTTCATTCTAGAAAAACAATATCCGTGGCTGCTTTCTCCTTCTAAGATACATGAGAGAGTCCCTGCTGATCTGTATGTTTGGCTTAGCTCTGATACAGATCAAATAGCTAATAGCTCATTTCAAACTCTTTAAATATAAGAGGAAAGAATGTTTACATTATTTATTATGAGTCTCAAAACATGTTCATTCCAAATAAATTGCATATTGTAACACTGGGCAGTGTTTGCTTAGCCTTGTACATCACTTGAAAAAAGAAAGGAGGAAGCTTTTAAAACTAAGAGTCAAGTTTCACAACATTTTGGTCATTGTTTGCTTAGAGCAATAATACCACTGATATGGCTTCCCACAGCCTTCGCTATTTCCATACAATTGTGGATTTTCTGTGACCTATATCACCAGAATAAAAAAGCATGGCTCCCTCCACTGCATGGTCTTAACAGACAAAGTTTTCAAAAGAAATTACTGAAAATAATCTTAAAAAAAATGCAACTAAGGGAAAGACAAACACTCCTTAAATTTACCCAATGTCACCCAAACTGGCTGTATTACCACTAAATGAATATCCACTACCAGCAAGTTTAATGATCAAGCACAACTATTTCAATCAGAAATTCACCTACCTGATGATGGTTCTTGACAACACAAGTTTTTTAAAAAGAAAATTTCTACAGAAGTTATGTTTCTGAAGGCACATTCGTACATACTGCACACAGGCAGCCTTCTGTCTAACAGATTGGCTTGGCAAAATATTATAAAAGCAGTTTGAAGGTTTATTAGAACTAGTGCTGCACTATTAAGAATAATTTTGTCACACAGGCCTCCACAACATTTTACAGTGTTACCCCTAATGGAAAACCAGGAAGGAGCAGCAACAAGTGGGCATTTGAAAGCGTTACCCCTAACGGAAAACCAGGAAGGAGCAGCAACAAGTGGCAGCACCATCCTCCAAGTGCTTTGGCAGAGTCTGTAGTAGCAACTATCGCCTCAGCTGTGGCCAAAAAGAAGTGGGATATTAAAAAGAACCAAAACTAGTCAGGCACCAACACTGCAGAAGAGACTGGGGGTACGGGAGAGCTTCAGTTACCTCTCTTTTTCCTATCTATGTTATTAACCCATTTAGTAAAATTATTTTTTAAAAGCATATTTGGGACAGTTAGAAATTCAGGTTTAGGGATGTCCCCCAGATATCCTCAATGTATTTTAGACAAGCCTTTCATAATACTTTTGTATAAAATGGCAGGATGAAAAAAAAAGTAGCAGGTACCAGGATCAATCGTAACTTCTCATCCTTCTGCTTCATTTTTTTTGGATCTTCAACACCACCTAAACAGTTCCTTCAGTTAATTAAACTTTGACTCAGACTGAAAGGCACAAGAATATATTTGATTTTATTTCACCCAGATGATAAGCCCAACGTCTCTGAAACATTAGATGTATTCTCTTTTGCTCCTAGGCCCTCAACAAACCACAAACATGGAAACCGAAAAAATATCACTACTTCTTCTCTAGAACCTTTCAAACCTTAAGCTGAACTGCAAAAACAGTTTCCCTGCACCACCACAAAATGCCTTGGAAGCCTAAAAGCACAAGAATGTTATGATTTATTTAAATACAGGTTTACATGGATTTCACTTGTTAAAGATGAAACAATGCCTACAATAGACAGTAGCAAAGCATTTCCAACCAAGAGAATAAGAAAAGGTAGTTAAACATTTCCATATCAGAGACATTTCGTTCTGGCCTGACATTTAGTGCTTAATTTTTTATACTTTGCAATAGCCAAGTATAACATCTCTATCATTTTTAGGGAGGAAAGAAGGACATACCCAAACCGGCTAGAGCACAATCACTGCTATTAGGTATGTGAAGAAAAAAAAAATACAACAAGAAGAGTAGCTAGAGCACAATCACTGCTATTAGATATTTGAAGAAAAAAAAAATACAACAAGAAGAGTAAAATACAGGTAAGGCTCTGAAAAACAATGCTGAAGCATTGCGTTAAAACATACCTAAGGCCACAAAAGGGATTGTGATCGATCTGTTAAAAATACACTTCTAAACTTCCTTATCTGCCTGTTCAAGGCTGGCAAGTACCAACTCTTTGAACAGAAAACCCACGTAAATGTGTCCATACGTGTTGAGCAGTAACTTGGAGAAGGATAGAGGAGAAACCCTCCAGTTCACTGTGACGCATTTCACCATGCACACGTGGGGCACAGCTCCATCTCTCCACTCCAATACTAAAGCCACATTAAACTAGCTTTAAGACAAAGATGAAACTAAGTCCTCCATGCCTGCATCATATTTTATGTGCATGCCACAGAACACTAAGTCATGTAGTGCATTTGCTCATGTAATATCCCCATAGTCTGGGGGAAATCTGGCTAAGATACCTGTTGGTAACTGTCTATCACTTCTGCATGCCAACAGTAAAGCCCGTAAAGGAGCAATACAAAACAGGAGTCACGCAAACCTTGAGCACTCCGTATCACACTGCTGGGTAGGATCTTCTTTGGTCTTTAAAGTTTAGCACATTAAACAAAAAAAAAAAAAAAGTATGAGAAGTCAGGGTGCTGAGTCAGAAGCCAAAGCCTCATATCAGATGACATAAATACCTGACCTTTGCTACCTGACGTGTGGCTGCTCACCTGCATGGAACGTGAAGGTAGGAGAGAGAAGTAAGAGTGAGGAGGAAGTTAATGGCATTCGAGCTGCTAAAACCTCGTTATCTTGTCCTGTTTAATTGATGTGGCTGTGCAGACTTCCACACTGCCCTCCCTGAACCACCCCCTTCATGGCCTCGTGCTCCTTCCCCAGCTTCCCGGAAGGGTTAAACCAAGACTGAGCCACAGGCTGGACTCCTTTGCACCTCTCCTGTCTCTAACAGAGACAGCCAAAGTGTCAGAGTTAGACAGTGCTGACAGGAACGTGACTACCTGAAAAGCAGGTTTGAGTAAAGAATGTAAAACTTTCCTGGGTATGGTTATAGACCAGAGAAAAGCAGCGGATCCCTCACAGGCTACAGCAGCCTCTCATCATCCCTAGGAGACAGATACTGCGTTATCACTGCTTACAGCAGCTACACCACAGCACTTCAACTGCGGAAAATAAACTAACAAGAAAAAGCACTTCGGACCAACTCACCTTATCGGCAAGAGGTGCCAGCAGGGTTTGATCCACACCCGGCAGGGTTCGATCCCTCGTCTGCATGGCAGAACCCCCAGCCTGTGTTTCAGCACCAGTGGGGAGGCATCTTGCAGATGCAAACTAAGAAGGGTTTTATCAAGATGAAAGACTCGGCTAAGAAGACACACACAAATGAGGCCGAAGGCATACCAGGCCAAGCCGAACTGAAGACCACTGTTCACTGCACCCAGACTGCCCGGTGCAAAGCTGAAAGACTTTTCAAATGACCGAGAAACACACTAGCTTGAATACACCAGTGCAGACAAGGCCCTAGTTTAGAGAGATGCCTGATCCATCACCTGACTCAAGCTGTGGAAATGGAAATGGACCCGCAGATTTTTTTCTGTCAAGGGAATACCATGTATTGGGACACACGAGCCTCCAGAAGCCAAAAGGCATGAAGGCAGATGTCTAGACAACCCCTAAGGGTACATCTTTATAAAGACATTTTCTCCTTTTCTTTTCTAGTGAGATATCCTCTCTGTATGACTCATAACCTTTTAAAATCCACTGTTATAACACTTCCTCCCCTGCACCCTACAGCAGGTTTTATGTCTGTGTGTCTAACAGCAGCTGCATGTTGTGAAGGCTGTGCTCAGACTCTGCTTTAAATCCAGGCTTCAAGATTTAGAGCCCAGGCCCTGCTCTGTCTCTCAAAGACACTTACCAAAGCACATTCCTCCCAAGTAAGCCAAACAAACAGAGAAGTGTTTGGATAACTAAGGGGTTTCCTTCTTGTTTTAAAACAGAGGAGAGACCAGCAAGTGCCTTCCCCTGCACTGTCACCAAGGGGGTTCAGACACAGGCTGCCAAAAAGATGAGCTCTGATCATATATGACATTGTCACATGTAAGAGGGAACACACAGCATCAACCATTTCTCAAGATCATAGTTTAAAAAACAAAACAAAACACCCAAAAAACCAACCATGCACTAGAATGTCTTATCAGGGGATAGCTCTAAAATCAGGGATGTGCTTAGAGAAAACATTTCAAGATTAAAGTATCCTACAAGAAGCAAGTAGGTAGGGCTTTGTAGGTGCCAAAAAAAGTTTTTGCACTGCATGTACTTTAAACAACCATGTTTCATTACAGACCGCGAGAACGTGAAGTTACCTGCTCTCATACAAACACTACTGCTCTGGGGACAGGAATCCAACACCAGAAGAGACAATCCAAGCACAGAAGACACCAAACACGAAAAAATAACCTTTTTACTGATAGAAGTAGATGGCATGGTCAGTCATCAAGCTCAGGGACAATCGTGTGCTGAAAGTCAGAACTACTACAATAAAAAGCAGCAATTAAATGAGAAAGTCTCTGCTAACACCTTCCATTTTCCCAACATCTACCACTTAATCTTTCCTAGACCATTTCTCAAAAACTTAAGCTGATACCACCACTTACCAGAATTTAACCTTCATATTTAAAACAAAAGAAAATGAATTGCACTTGTGGTGTTATTAACTCTCACTCAAAGCATTCATATTGCAGGTTTACCAGAACTGTCTCATCTGAATAACGCCCTTGGTACCCTACATTCAAACTACCCACACCGGAGTCTGCAGAGTGAAACAACTGAAGAAGCAGATAGTATTTTATTCTTTCTAATCTTTAACCTGATTTAACTAGAATTTAATGCCAAAAGATATCACCAGTTTTCCTAATATCCCTCTTACCCCACTTCAACATCTGCTGTACGAAGATTCCCCCAACCCCAGACATCAGGACAGTAACATTTTAAGCTCTCACATTGTTCTTTCACACACCTCTCCCATGCCAGATGAACACGTCACATACAGATGCTAAGACTTGATAGATAATACACAGCCAATGAGGTTTCTTTTATTAATTTCATTAGTATAGATTTTATTGTAATTCCATCAACAGAACACATTGGAGTGTTTTTAGTGACTATCAGAAAAGCTGGGTGTAAAGGTGGCCCAGTCACCCCAGAAACACGGTGCCTGCACAGCTACACCAGTTAAAACAGACCGAAACATCACCTTCCCACTGAGCTGATCTTCTGCAGAACCACCTTTCCAACAAAGCACCAGAGCTCCCTCCTTTATTTCTAACACTGAACAGACGCCCAAGAGCCACAACAGCTTTGAATAAGGATGAGTTTAAAATGACTAATCGTTTCCTCTATTATTATAGAGAGTTTATGTTGCCTCTTAGATATCTTCTTTGTGTTACCACGCGAGCTAGTTCCTTCTACTGCAGTACCGCAGCTTTTGGTTGCAAAGCTCTCTTTCTAAAGCTATAGGCTTAAAAAAAACCCCAAAACAAAAGCCCTCACTTCTCTGAGGAAGTCAAGCTTGGTTATCGGCTGAACTGGATCCACACCGCTTGCAGCAAGCCTGAGCACTGTATAACAATAAAGAAATAGGCCTAGCAGATGTTAATAGTGCTGGTTCTGGATGGAATTTTTTCTTCCCCTTGCTGAATCATTTATCCATGAAAAAACACAGTTTCAGGGAAGACTAAACTACTCATGAATTTGGGCTGAACTTACAGAAGGGTTCACTCGAGGACAATCCCCTCTGACTTGCACTGAAACCAACGCAGGAGATCAAAATGAACTCTTGCGATCACGACAAAAACATTCAGATGCTGGGCACGGGGAATAAAAGCCAAGGCAACAAAGGGCTGCATTCAGCTATAATACGGTGAAAGTAGCTCCCAGTAGCCAAACAGTTACAGCACTCAGCTGGCACGCCGTAGATTCAGGTCGAAATCTCCTCGCTACCAGGCCAACAGACTAATCCTTCTTTCTGCAGGTTGGCGTTTCGGACAGGCGTGCCAAGCTGGCTGCAGGGCCACCTGCTCGCTGGCTCCCGCGGGGGAGGGGGGAAGGCAAAGGGGGCTGCAGGGCCCCCCGCTCGCTGGCTCGCGGAGTCGACGGGCAAGTGCAGAGTGGGGCCACCGCTCCCTCTCGGAGAGCCACCAGCGTGGCTCAGACCTGTCCTCCCCTGTGTGCCCAACTGCCCAGCTCAAAACACATTCCCGCTGCAAGGAAGACCTGAGGTCAGGCCCCAAAGATGAAAACTGGCTCCAACAAAAGACACAGAAGGATGTGCCTCTGGGGAAAAACACCGGCTGCCCTCCTCTCCTGCTGCCTTCCCCAGCTCCTTCCCCTGTGGTTCTTGGTTTTAAAACACAAACCACACAAGCATGAAGCCCAAGCTAAAGCACTCAAACATGAGGTCACGCTAAACAGCCCAATTAACTTGAAACTAGCCAAACTGGGGGTTTCAGGGTTTCTGTAAGACTTCCCCTCATCTGCGCTCCTCCCAAAAATTGGTTGAATTGCCACAATCTTTTCCCCTTACCACTTTTTTGGGTTTTTTTAGTATGGCAGAGGGAAGGAAAGTTGTTTTCCCACTATCTATGCCACCAAATGCAAAAATAAAGATGTGAAAGACGTAGATGTTTGTTTTTCTTTTTATGTTACACAAAAAAATCTGGACCCTGCCACATACGCTTCGGAGAGGGTGAGCATGGGACACATTCACGTTTCATTAGCACCTCAAGGCCAACAGCCCTGGGAGCAGAAAATATTGTAAAAAAAATAAATAAATGTTAGAAAAGAAGCATTGGGGAAAGGCATCTGTTTGTGTGCCGGGGTGGGGAGGCAGCAGAGTACAAACAACAAGCGTAAATTGTTCTTTTTCCTTTCTGTTTAGCTTTCTGCGTAATCCCACTGAATAGCAGTAATTTGGAGAACAGCCTTAAATTCCACTATCAGAGGCCAGGCGGTACATTCCCCTCATTCAAAAGCAGTTGGAGCACAATGGTAAGAACGTTATTCATTACTTCCTATTACCTAGGGTGGGACTAAATGCTGCTCAACAGGCCTGTGTATCAGACAGAGACATCTATAATATGTTCACTGAAATTAACACCCTGGGGAGGGAGGGGTCTGAACCATTTAATGCCAGTTTTGTTTGTAGGCAAAATAGTACAAAGTTAGACCCAAAATTCATCTAATTAATCAGAGCAATAGGCAGGACAATGCTACAAAGTGACAGCATTGAGATCCTGATGCAATGCTCTGATTAACACCAGTCCAAGCGCGTTGATGTATGCACAGCAAAGCAGGATTCTCCAGCCTGGGGCATTTGGGGAATCTGTTCTGACACATGCTCTAACAGCAGCATTCCCGGCCCTCAGAATGCGGCTGAAACACCTCCTTTTGTTATCTTATCTTTACTGGACAGAAAATACTGTGTTGCAGGTGTAGCTTCTCACCTAGAAAGCGGCCATCCATCCACACAACCACTCTTTCAGCCCCACGCAGCTTTCACAAGGCATTATACCCAATTACACACCAGGAGGGCTGGTGTTACTGATTACTCAAGAGACCAGACATTTTCAGTCCTATGGCTTCGGACACAAACTTGCCCCATTTACCCAAGCTTGCCCATTTCTTGCATCTTTCCATCAATCTGCAAATTTACACCCCCTGATGACAATGGAAATCAAACAGATAAACATGAAAAAGGGGCTAGCCACTAAGGCTGAGCTGGGATTTATGTTTCTGCCACACAACAGCTTCTGTGAACTGTTTTTCCCACCTGCCACTCTGACACCTGCCCAAGCTCGCAGGACCCCCAGCCCCGTTTCCCTAGTCCCAAGCGGGTGCACCAGCAGCCACTCTGCACCAGAACCCGGCAGAAGCAGAGGAAAGCCTCCACCCTGCGGCACAGCTTTTCTATCACCAGGCAGCCTCAGGACTTCTAAAAGCAAGATCGAGACAATGAAAGATCTCAGTGATACGATGGCAGCCAAAATTGCCCTTTTGTGTGTGTGTGTGTGCATGCAAATGAACCAAAGTTTCCTGTCTGATAATGTCTTTCAGCGCACGGCTCCCAGGCAGTGGCACATGCCAGGCTGGGGTGGAGAGCTGCAGGCATTCACGGCTCTTACTGGAAGGACACTCAGTGCTTGTCAGGATCAGAGCCTTAGTTCCTAATTGCCACTCCAGTAACAGCTACTGCAGAAAGAGCTGAGGGGGGGAAA